TGCTCAGTTTAGCTTTCATTTGTTATGAGAACTTTTGCATTTACGAGGTTTCTTAGTTCTTTTTAAATTTCCAATACTTGATCATTTGCTTTAGGTAATCTATAATAAAAAAAAATTCATACACTATTGTGCCTCGCCGGGTACTCCACACAAGTTGTGTTTGAATTTTTTTATTTCATTGGTTTTATGAGTCATTAGATAAATTTCTGAACGTTTTTATTAAAGAAAATTACGATTTATTCAACTTTTCTATTCTGCGCTATTGAATGTTTTGAATTAGAGGCTGTATAATAAAATTTATGTTTTTCTTTTATTTCTTTCCAAAAATATCTTTCAATTTGGGCCTAAGAATACTCCTATAAGATTTTAAAACTGCTTACAAAATTTAATGCACAGAATGTTACTTTTTCTCAGCACCTATTTACTACTTTTAAAAGCTGTACCTCAATGTCGAGTCACTGTATAAAAAGGTAGAATTTCAATAATGAAACATTGAAAAACTGCATTTTCCTTCAGGAAGCATTAATCTAATTAATTCATAGTTCTTTCCAACTTTACTCTTCTTTTACACAGCGTGTTTTCTGTCCTTTTCACGTTTTTCTTTTTAGAATACAGGCAATCAAAGGAATAATTCTGGAGGTTATTTGCAAATTTGCTAAGTTTGCGGCTCGTTGGACTAAAATGGTTCCTAATCAGCGCTACATGATCTAACCACAGACAACGCATGGTCTTCAGAAAAAAGCTGACATGATATTTGGTCTCTGAATCGAAGAGGTTACGAATTTGCCTGGTTTAGTAGCACTATATCTGCACATACAAGTGAAAAAAGGTTCCTAAAGAATAACGTATCGTAAACTAACGACGAAAGATGGTAAAATAGTCAAGGAGGTCGAAATAAAAATGCACTGTCCCACCACTGATGCTGTCGCTAGCAGCACAAGACTGCTCCGAAGAGAGGGCGGAAAGGTATGAAATGCCCTTGTGCTTAGAAAAAGTATCCTCTCTATACAAACTAGTTAAGATCATTTTTTTGGCATATGCGAGGAGGCAGCTCTTTCAAATCACTCCAGATTAATAATTCATTTGCTGTGATCTAAGCTCAAAGTCAAATTTATTTCCTCTCATTTTGTTTAGGTTAATAAATTTGTTAACTCAGTGGTCGTTTGCTGAAATTTTGTTTTCTTTTTTTAGTTTACAGTGCTGCAAAGTGCGGTTGTTATGCTGTTGTTCTTCTCGTTTAGAATGATTTCTATCATTCGTAAATTTTTATTTTAATAAAGAATAATGTCTAAGTATGAAGTGTCAAGGTTTGATGTGC